ATAAAAACTCTATGTATCTTTACATTGAAAAATCCTATATCATAACTCTTTGAACTATATCTTAATCTACACCCTATACCTACCATTCTTAGCACCACCAAATATAAATTCTTAATCCCACCTACCTACTCTATAACAATCAATTTAATATTAATATTAAAATATTAAAATTAAATAATACTCTCAAATTTCTTTTAAATAAATAATTGAATTTTATTCGAAATTACAGAATTATATGTAAATATATAAGCCTATACACTTACTCCCAAAATAAAATAATTAAAATATTAAATAAATATATAGTTGAAAAACTATCTATATAACTAAAAAAAAAGAAATTCCATTTTATTTATAACTATATCTAATTAAAGTCATTATTTATATCAAAAATAGAATATATAATAGTTTTATTAATAATTCACTATTCGAATTAATATATAATAAAAAGCCTGATTTAAGTTATATTAGAATTTTAGATTCTTTTATTTATATTATTAATAATAAAAAAATTCACAATAAAAAACTAAATTCTAGAATTTGGAAAGATATATTAATAAACTTTGATTTATTTAATAATTATTTAATCTATATTTTAACTAATAAGAAAATAATTAGTTTAAGAAATATTAATATTCAAAAAGATCTTATATATTTTAATAAATATAAAAATCAGGATCTAAAGCTATTAGAAGAAAAAGACCTCGAATTTGAATTTATTCAAAATAATATAAAGAATAAAGATACTATTAATATTAATAAACATCAAGCTAATTCCGAAATGAATAAAAATAGTGAAAATAATAAAATAATAGATTGTATAAAGATTGATCTTGATAAGTCTATATCTAGTGAATCTATTCTTAATAAGGAAATAGAATCTAATATATAATAATCTAAGTATATAAGAAATCTAATTTCTAATAATAAAGATTTTAATAATAATGGAAAATATATAATTTTCTATTATGGATTTGCTTTTTCTAAGTATTTTAATTTAATTAATAAGAAAATGAATATCGAAATAGATTAATAAGATCTTCAATTAGCTTTTGATACTAGACTTAAAAATAATAAAAAGATTATTATTAATAAATTAGATTGTATATTAATTAAATCTAAGATCTATAAAAAAGCTATTAACTCTTCAGAAAAGGAATATTAGCTAAAAGCTATGGAATACAAAATAAACACTCTTAAATCTAATAGAACTTAGAATATTATTAATAATCCTAATAATAATAAAACCCTAAAAACTAAATAGATATATAAAATAAAGGATTCAGGTGAATTTATTGAATTCAAAACTAAATTTGTTGTTAAAGAATTCAAATAGCTATATGGATTAGATTATATTGATATATATATATCAGTAGTTAAATTGATGGTGTAAAAACTTTTATTTGTATTAGCTCTTCAAAACGATTAGCTAATTTATAAAATCGATATAGTACTAGTATTTGCATAAGGCAATATCGATATACTATTCTTATTAAATCTACTAAAAGGATTTAATGAACTAAAGAATAAAGCTTTAAAGCTAAATAAAGCTTTATATAGCCTAAAACAATTGGTTAGGATATAGTATTATATCCTAAAAAACGTATTAAATAAATTAGGCTTTATAAATCTAATATTTAAGGAATATATTTTTATTAATAAGAATAAAAATGTGATTCTAAATATATATATTGATGATATTGCTATAATAATCTCAAATCAAAAGATTATTAATAAATTTATTAATAATCTAAAGGAACATTTTGATTTAAAAAATCTAAGTTTTATAAAGAATTATTTAAATATTCAAATTGAAAGGATTAGTAATATACTAAAGATATATTAATTAGAGTATATTAAAAAGATGTTTGCTAGATTTAATATACTAAATTCCAATTCTATTTCTATTTTAATAAATCCAAAAATAAAGCTAATTCATAATAAAAGGAAAGCTAATAATAATAATATTAAATTATATTAAGAAATTATAGGCTCCTTATTATATTTAGCTTTCGGAATTAAATTAGATATAGTATTTTTTATATTTAGATTAATTAATTTCTTATTCAATTCTAATATAGAATATATTCAAATTATTAAAAAAATATTAAGATATTTGAAAGGAATTATAAATAAAAGTACAAATTATAATAAAATTAAAAACCCTTATATTCAAGGATTTTGTGATATCGATTATAAAAAAAAGATTAATATATATAAATCTATTAATAGATATATATTTATATTAAAAAATAAATCTATTAATTAAAAATCTAAATTATAATTAATAATAGCTTTTTTTATAGCCGAATTTGAATTTATTACTATAAATCTAGCTATTAAAAAGATTATTTATATTAAAAAACTATTATTAGAGTTTAATCTATATAAATAGAATAAATTCCCTCTATATACAAATAATTAGACTATACTAACACTTACTAAAAATCTTATATTTTATGAAAAAAGCAAATATATAATAATTAGATTCTATTATTATTGGTATTATTATGGGGATAGTGAAGTAATATAGTACTAATGATTTACATTGTTATAATATTACTTAAGGTTCTAAAAGCTAAAGGCTATAAATGTATATACTATAATGCAAGGGCGCTAGCGTATACACTAACACAATCACATAATCCCTATCCCAACAATTATATTAGAAATATTATTAAATCAAAGGATTTAGATCTAATTTATATATTTACTAATAAACAAAAAGCTAATAAACTTATTAAACTATTAACTCAAATTAAATTAATCGAATTCACAAATCGAATTAATCTGAATTAAGATATATAATAGGATTAATTTAGTATATCTATTAAGGGGGTGTATAAGGATTCATAATAAATCTATTAAATTATTTATTAATATCTTATCAAATAAGGGATATATTGATAACTAATATATATATAATATAATATTATATTATAAAATCATATTATTATATAGTTGTATAATAATATCTCTTATCAAATTGATTTATAATAAAATAGAATAAAATAGAACTAAATAGAAATATACAAGAAATATTACTAAATTAATTAATTGTAAAAGTTGAGACCCCGGCTTATCACACACTACTCTTTTTCGTAACAAAATCCTTATAAAAAAGTTGTTTTCTTATACAAACTTATTTCTTTTATAATTTATTTAATAATTAAAAAGTTGATTTGAAAATCTCTTATATAAGAAATTACTATATTCGAAATCTTAAAAAATAAATAAATTATTTTTAGCATTTTTTTTGATATAGTTATAGATTTTCAAAATTAAAATTTTTTGAAATTTATCATATATAACGCTTTTCCTATACAAAAAAATCAATTTTTTTGGATTTTTTGGAAATTCTAATTTTGAAAATCTATAACTATATCAAAAAAAAATACTAAAAATAATCTATTCATTTTTTTGAATAATTTTAGTAATTAATTATAATACATATCAATTTCGATAATTCTGTTTCTATATTTATTGAAATAATATATAATTCAAAAGTTGAAGAAATAAAGGTTTTTAGTATGTTTTCGACTAGTATGCAATAAGCCGGGACCTCAACTCTTACTTTCTTTTTATTATCTAAAATGATTCTATAAGATACGATTTAAATCGATTTTATTTATAAATATAGAATATACTGGAATTTCATTATAAATTATATAAACCTAGAATATTCTTTAAAGAAATTCTAGGAAAAAGCAAGCAATTTCATCTCAACTCAGCCTAGCTCTTCTAAATTGACTTCAATTCAACTCTTATTCTATATATTCGATTTATCCCTACAGCTTAAACTGACTAGATCTTCCACTATCCTTATAATAATACTATTCCTTCTTATTATAAGAACTAACCTCCAAGAGATAAAGTGAACTCCTGGTTGGTGTATTCAATTTTTCGCGGCTCGGACGATCACGAAGTCTAGGTGCTCATGCAGATGCACAGACGAATGCACGCGAATTTTGGCGACATGTCGCTGTCACGCTCGGCTAATAGTCAAACAGCAATAACCTCATGTACTATGTCCCATAACTTACAATGCCTTTGATTTATCATTGCTTCATTAAACTGGTACCAGTTTCTCATTTTCCGGAAAATTTTATTTGGGTTTTGAATCAAGCTTTCAGTAGATTCAAATGTTAGTCTCGAGGACTAAGATCGATGACATAAAGCGTAACACACCTAATCAACGCTAAGTCAGTCCATATAGAAATTACCACTTTTTAACTTTGTATACATAACTATCTAGGTCTCTCCCCAGAGAATCGTTTTGAAAATTTCATTCGAATACTGATTCCATTGTCTCGTCTTAACGCCTATAATTAATTAATTACAGTCTTCTAATCAAAACCATATAATTATAATCTGTAATTCCCCCAAGTAGTTCGAACTTTCAGAGGCCGAAAATTCTTCAACACGGATCAAATATTGAGCTAGCTCTAATCTTTCAATCAGAATTAGACACTCAAGTCTTTGAACCCGCTGAATCAGAAGAAAAGCAAACGACGATATTGTTCGGGTTGAAGTTTGTACGGGGTTGCACAGAATTTACTCGTGATTTTCAATTGTAAATAGATCTTGCTGTTGTCTAATTTGATTAGTAAATAGTAAATAACATTTACTGACCTGTTGTCACTAATTCCTGCATGTCATTTAACCATTGGGTTGAAAAAGTTTCAAGCCCTGTTATGCGACGAGCTCTTGATATTTTTCTTTATGTTTCCAAAGCTTAGTAGCATAAATACTCTTACGATTTCGACTTCGTGTAATTATAATATCACTCAGCCACGGTATATGGATAATCTTTAGAATACTTTTATGATATCCAGGAATTTGTAGTAATACCATGTTTATTGTTACTCTAACAAATCTCGCCCAGAGCTAGAACCCGTAGTAATCTAATGTTGTAAGTCTTCCCTTGCGAGGCGGAGTCCTCCTAATGACAGATTTAAGGCGCCAGGCTACCACAACTAGTTTCGCTGACGTCCCAAGCCTCCTCATGTAATCTTGTCAGCTGGCTGGCTTTCAGCTTCTGTTTCTTCGGGTTCTTGCTGAAGTGACAGACTTTCCTCATCTGACTCAAGCATTCTCGAATCTGTTAACTCGAATGCCGCGGCGTGCCATGCCGCCTCCGCGTTATTCCATGTTTCCTGGGCCTTTTTTAATATCTCTTCAGCCTCGAGGAATGCCTTCTCTGCGTCTTGCAATGCCTCCTCAAGCAATACCTCTTCTGCTTTTAACATTCTCTCTCTCTCCTCCCACTTCTCTCTCATGTTGCGGGTGGCTAACTCTATCGCCTCCATCTCTCCAATACTAATTGATATTCTTTGACGTCCCACTCGCACAGCGAGCTTTTTCTTAAAATCCTCCAAGACATCCATATCCTCCTGCAGTTCTGCTTCAAGTTTCTCTTCCGGTATGATGATATCAGGTATTTGCTTGGATAAATGGAGTACTGAGTCCCTAAAGTTTGGCAGGCTTTCGAGAGAATGATTCACTTCCTCTTGGACTTGCTCGAGTACCGACCTAAAATACATCTCTTCCATGGTGAGCTGCATGATTAGGTGATTGGAATATATCGATACGATGATTTAGGCCAGTCTGGGTGGATATGGATTAGAGGCTCGAAAGTTGAAAGTTTTGTTGTGTGACGATGGGCGACTGTGATACTTGCTGATGCTGGAAGAAGGAAGAAGAAAAAGGAATAGTACTGTATGATTATTTTTATACGAGAAGGATTTTGAAGACGTAGTAAACAAAGGAATGATATTTTTTTAACGAAAGTATCTTCAAAGGAAAGTGGCATGAAGAGTTTGCGGGCCGCCAAATTGGCAATTTCCCTTTTGGGGTCAACAATACCTTCCTAGTCTTGCTGGTGGTTCCTCTTTCTTCTCCTGCAGGAAGTAAGAAACGGGTTTGATTGGAAGATTGAGTAGGTGCCGGCGGTCGAACCATAATCTAGTGGTATGAATCAGAAGTTTCACATCTGGGTTTGACTCCAGTGTAGGGATCGAGGGGTGGATTACGATTATAATTACTAAGAGTTAATGTTGAGACAAACTTCCCACAATTCTCAAGATCCTTGCTTGCGTATCTAAAGGAATAGATTCCAGATATATAGTGATCTCAATGTTATCAAGAAACAAAAGGAAGGAAATCTTACTTTTCCAGCTTTTCTCTATGGCCAATAATCATTAATTCTCGACAGGAATTGAGACTTAGTTCGATTATCTTTAAAATTTGACACAGTTCTCTTGTTCCATTATTTGTTGTAATTAACGCTCATGCTATGTTTTTGTCCCAATGTCTCAGAAGTATGAGAGGTTTTCATCTCAAAAACTTTACTTGATTGTTGTGTATTGAACGTAAGTCGCTTCCAAGAAGAATTTTCCTCACTCATGAAGTTCTTAATGTCCACTTAAGTAGATCCTTCTCAACGACATCCTGCTTTCTCTTAAGCAACTCATCAATATCCCACCTAGCATCCAGAAATCTTCCATTCATCCATTTCAAATCTTTGATGTTCTTACTCAACCATACACAAAACCCACCACAAAGATCCACACTATCAACAAGATCTATGGCGTTCATTAGTGCTCTTGCAACCTTAAAAGTTGAATAGATGAAAACCTTACAAGGTAGGAAAACTTCAGGTGTATTTCCAGCAGCCATCGGCGTTGCTACAGCCCCCGGATGGACAGTAACAGCAACCAATCCTTCCTCCCCAAACTGAGAACCTACCATCTCTAAAAACCTACTTTGTGCAAATTTACTCACGCAATACCCTGTATTGGCAATGGGGCCACCTGTTAAAGTCGCAGCCAATGATCCAACCTGTATGAAACCCTTTGCTCCATTATCACTCTCCAGCAATAGAGGGATCAAATAATGCGCACAATTGTAGGTCCCAATCATATTTATATCGAAATTTCCTTGGAACCATGACGGATCACCTTCAGTAACTTTCAGAGTCACGGGACCCGCATATCCAGAGTTGGGAATACAGACATCGAGGCGACCGAAAGTTTCTTTGATATAATGTGCAAGGTCCGAAATGTTGCTTGACAATGTGATATCACAAGAAAATATTTCGACTCGTGTTTTGGGGGATATGACACGAATCTTTTCAGCAACGCGAGTAAGTTCAGAGTTGTTGCGGGATGCTAGAATAATACCGGAAGCTCCTGCTTGTGCAAATGAATAAGCGATATGCTCGCCTATGCCAGAGCTCGCCCCTATTACGCAGACGACGAAAGGACTGGGCAGTGAGTTGTTGGCTGGAGTGGTGGCGGGCGTGAGTGTTTTGTGTCGGGTAGCTATAAAGCTGTTCATTGTTTCGTTTGTTTTCAGGATTTATTAGGAGGGAAACTGTAAGATTAAAATTAAGAGACGGGTCATGAAGATTATATCATCTGAAAATCTTTATTCCATGTTTCTGGCACATCACAATGATTAGGTGGCTGAGTTTTCGACTCATAATGAGTGCGTGGAATGGGACATTTGATTGGCTGTTCAGTAGTGGGGGTTTTCTGCCCGGTGAGTCAGTAGTTACTTTAGGTTTATCCGGACCCTTTAACAAGTTTCCCATCCACAATTAATGCTATTCTTGAACGATGTCTTCTATGCAGAATCACCGTTTTATTAAGGCATTTAGTTGAGGGGATAGTAATAATACAATGATTATTAGCCTCATCGATTGGACGAAAAGCCAATATCTCGTTTAAATCGACACTTTAATATGATCAATACCTACTCCAAGCAATTTCGGACTTCTACTGCTTCCCTTCAAAAGTGAAGTTCTGGAAGGTCTAACCATAGACGAATAATAGATAGTCACGTTTTCATGAACACAAATTTATCCACGGGGAACTCTTCAACTCTTTTGAGGAGATTAAAAGGGCCCTGCAAATTGTCGAACAGTCTCCTCTTACCCAAGATAACGGATAGAATCAACGCAATTTCCCGGCTATATAGACATGATATGAGGTCAGATGGGACTGCATTGCAATTCCATGTCATGTCAAGCTATTTTTCGGCCCCCATTTGTCTTATCAATATACCGCATGCTATCATGTATCAATCCCACGTTATCTATCTCATGCGAAATCTTTATCAACTTTGTGTGAAATGTTCAGCTTATAAAAAAAATGATGCCTCCTTGAATTCGTCGGACAAATCACGCAACACAAACTGTCATGATTTGACAAGAAGAGTAATGTCACAGCCCTACCAGATTGAATAACTCGTCATGTTTGAGCAGGAGATGCAAGCTGCTGTGGTAACATTTCTATATCACTCGTTCACCTGTCAAACGGATAAAGGTTCTGCAACTGTTCGAGTCGTAGCGAAAGGATGCTTTCGATACTTTTTTCAAGGGAGCTTTATTAAAGCATGGCCCTCTTAGTGAATATTATTAGTCCAAAAGGTTTGAAAGGTGAAAGAAAAGCATAACTTGACTGCCATTGAAGATGTCTATAACTGAGGTCCGAGCAATGGCAAATAATTAACATGGGAAGCTTATGATTCAAACAAGTCTTGGTGGACATAATATTCCTCGTACTGACTGCAAGTGCTAGTGATATAGAGATCAAAAAAACGAGACGCTTTCTGCGGCCAATGTTCGTGAAGACTATTATGTCTATTGTCAATGCCTATTGCTTTTAAGGGGGTAGCTCTTCTCTCAAATGTACGTTGAGCCTTGATGTTATACATCCTACGCATGTCCTGGGCCGGACGACCTAAGCCTTCAACAGTCAACAACTACGAACATTCACATTCCTTATCATGTGATCACTTTCTGTTCTTGGACATTGCTTCGATTCATAGCAGAATCTCTAGGAATTGAATAATGACAGCCATTATAAGACGCGACAGTAATTATCTCGACAGGGTTACCAGTACTGCCATTCAAAGCACTGAATATATAAACTTCCGAGCTTCCCGGACGCCTGTAACTCACTAGATGCCATCATAACGCAGGAAAGAGATATTTAGGAACATAAACGAGTAATGTTCACATTTTCATTTCCACAACTTGCCGTCTGTGGAAAAAATTCGTGACCATGATTTGCACACCAATCCTTTGAGACATACAGCCAAGATCCTGGCCTTGAATATTCTTGGTTGAAGTAAAGAAGGGGATTTTGATAAGATAGGATTGGACTTCTAATGACGCTAGCCATTGAGTCGATTGAGTCGGAAAATGAATGTTGTTGTGAGTGGATATGAATGTGATCATACATGATCGGCCAAATATCTTTGACAACCAAAATGTCATGACGCATCTAAGTCCTTCGTTCTCTCCCAGCATGACAAGACTTTGTTTTTGAGGGATTCTCGGCATTTATAGATCTGCCAATGACGACTTCTTATTGAGGATGAAACTTCTCACTTAACCTGCAATCAAACTGTCCAAACAGGAAAGAGCTGCAATCTTCGCTATGTATTCAACGCATCTCATCGATGAACAATGTTCCAAAGCGGAGGCCTACTACACAGAATCTCATAACTGATTAAATTCGTGACGGAATACCAATTGTATGCAATATTAAATCTCTTGTCGCTCGTTTGTGTCAGGAGGTCGGAAGAATGCCGGGACCGATACCAAATGCTGCACCCATCACATGACCTTTAAATTTCCGCTTTACGCGACTTTTTATCCAGTCGCGGTCAACGCGTCTTCCATCTATCATCTCCATCTTGCAACAACAGCACAATCTCGATATTTGCCCTCCACACTCCAACGACGTCAATCATGTGTAAGTTTCCCCGCGCATCACTCCAAAACTCAAAACTTACTTGCACCTAGCAAACAGCTACGGATACCAAAATAATTATTCAACCACCAGTTACGGCGCACAAGGCGGGGCAGATGGTGGTGGATTTGTTCAAGGAGGATACGGTGGATCGCAGGGAGGAAGCCAAGAAAGTCCTGGAGGATCAAAGGTATGTCTTGCTACTTATGGAGTCATATGAATATGCTAATGAGACATTTAGACATATGGTAAAGATACATTGCGACCAGTAACCATCAAGCAAATCCTCGAGGCCGTGCAACCACATCCCGATGCAGATTTCAAAATCGACGGATCGGAAGTAACTCAAGTAGGTATATTCCTTTCTATTATAATTTGTATTGCCACCATTTATCACCAGACAAGCATATTAACTTCTCAACCATTAGCTCTCATTCGTTGGCCAAGTCCACTCCATCTCCACCCAAGCCACAAACAACACCTACAAAGTCGACGACGGCACCGGTCTCATCGAAGTAAAACAATGGATCGACAATGACGCTGCTCCCGAAAACGCAAGAGCTGTGCCGGAAGAAGGAAAATACATACACGTATGGGGAAGACTCAAGTCTTTCCATGACAAACGTCATGTAGGAGCTCATATTATCCGACCCGTTCTCGATATGAACGAAGTGACATTCCATGGATTAGAAGCTACTCTGGCGCATTTATATTTCACTCGCGGTCCTATCGATACAGCAGGTGCTATGACAAAGAAAGAGGGAGGCGATGGAATGTTTGTCGATTCGTATGGTGGCAACAACATGGGAGCCGGGGATGCGTCTACAGGTGGTGGTAAAATATTACCTGCGAAGGTATCTCGCAATTCCAGAATTGTTTTCGATCTATTACAGTCAGAGCCCCAGAACAATGAGGGTTTGAATGTAAATATGATTGCGACCAAGCTTGGTATGCCAGTTGCAGATGTCTACAAGTGCGGAGATGAGTTGTTGGCGGAGGGTTGTATCTACACGACGGTTGATGATGAGACGTGGGCTGTGTTAGAGTACTAGAGGATGGGAGATTGTAGCATCAATGGCGTTGTAGGATGGGATTATGGCATATATGTAAAAGTAATGGCTGCATATGAATGAAGTATGGTTCTATGAGAAGATATACCAAATGAGATTCTTAGATTGCTAGAATTAGGTAAAAACAAATGATGATATCGTTATATTATCAAATATCCGAATAGATAACAATTAAGACTAAAGCTTGCTTGAGTGCTTCAAAAGGCGCGGATTTGTTTATGCAAGAGCTTTACCCAAAGATAGACAGATCCGATAAACCACAAAATCTTCAAGAGCAACCATGGAAACTTAAAAGCGTCAATTTGATAGGGAAAATAGATATCAGAAGCAGAACTCAAATCGCAATGACACCACCTACTCAATCATCTCAACATTGACACCCTCCTTTCCCTCGACAGTCTCTCCCACAAATTTCGGTTCCCTGACCATAATCTGCATCTTAACCGGCTTGACCCCTCTTTCCATCACAATATCCTGCTTCCACTCGAAACCTAACTTACGATAGTAGCTCAAATTTCTCTCCGCACTAGACTCCAGATACGTGGGACGGTTTTCACGGTCCGCTCGATCAGTCATATGTTGGATTAATTTCTTCGCGTACCCTTTTCCTCGAGCGCTAGGTTTACTACCGAGATAGACGAGGTAGTAGAAATTGTTATTGCGCTCGCCCATGACGTCGTCGATGGTATGGTGGAGGAGGGGCAGAAATTCATGATAGAAACGTTTGCGGCCTTCCACGGAGAGCTTGAAGTAGAGTTTCCAGAGACCGCTGCGGAAGAAGGTAAGCCAATCGTCCATGTCTTGACCGGGAGGCATCCTATTGGTTTGTTAATTCGTTATTCAGAAAATGTGGATCCCAGTAGACGTACCATAGAGCGACTGCATCGTAGTTTGGACCAATGGTAGTCACTATGCCTTTGTAGCAATGAGCAGCGGTCATGTACTTGATTATGTCACAATGAAGTTTCCATTTGTAGTCCTCGGAATAAGAAGTCATGTCATCGGTATCAAGGAAGTATCTTGCTACTTCGTCTGTAGCAAAAGCTTGAGCTAGACACTGAGCCGCTCCCTCGCACTCCGAGATACTTACTACACGGACCTCCTCCGTTGTAGCCGGGGAAAGGCTGCGCTTCTTCTCAAGAAAAGTCATGGTCGTACTATTATCCTCAATAACATGCGCCATGATTGCGATTTGTCAATGATTTATCTTGAGACGTTGGAATAATTCTGCAGATTTAACAAGTTAATATGGTATTTGGAGGCATTTGGGAAGGTCAAGAACGAACAAGAATCCGGTTTATTAGCTGGCCTATTCAAATCGCCTGTATGAACTATCGAGAGCTGAGTTCTCGATACTGTTATGTATCGAGATGGGAAACGAAGACAGTTGAGACTCTGGCGGAAATCAACCGACATCAATGTAGATGTTTATCAAACTCGGGTTACTCTTCAGCGGGAAAAGCAGTATGATTCTTCGAGAATCACGCTTCGTCTACAGTGGGTAGATAGACTTTGGTCGTCGATTGTGTAGCTATGGGAATCGTGAGCCGGACAAGT